GTGTGAGTATAGATCTATTGCAGGAGTAAATGGAGAATATTTCTAGTATTATGATTAAATTATTGGTTTCAAATTACTCTATTTGGAAGCCTATGATAGATGGTATCCTTTATTGTAAGGATTTACATAAATCTATTGAATGTGATAATGTTAAACCAAGCAGTATGAGTGATATTGGCTGGAAGAAAATGAACAAGAAGGTCATTGGGCATATCAGATTGTGGGTTTAATGTATTCCATCATATATTTTAAGAGACAAAAGCCCATAGGCTTCGAGAAAAACTAGAGGGTTTCTATGAGAAGAAGACCATTCAAAATAAAGATTTTGCTATTAGAAAGCTTGTGAATTTGAAGCTGAGGGGGGGGGGGATTATTGGCTGAGTGTTTGAATGAATTCCAAGACCTGGTAAATCAGTAATATTGGTTGAGTGTTTGAATGAATTCCAAGACCTGGTAAATCAGTTGACCATAATGAAAATAGTGCTAGATGAATAAATTGAAGAACTATTACTTTTGAGTTTATTGCCTGATAATTGGGAGACTTTGGTAGTATCGCTTAATAACTCTGCTCCAAATGGTGTGCTTGGATTTACTCTAGTTAAAGGCATTTTGTTTAATGAAGAAATATACAAAAGCTCTTATTACAATGAATAGAGGAAGGAGTAAGAGCAAAGATCCTAAATGACGTGGTAACTTTGAAAGTCAGTTAGAGGCAAGAGAAAGAGTCAAATGTTTAATGTGATAAAGATGGTCATATAAAGAAACATTGCATGGCTTGGAAATAAAAACTAAAAGAGGAGAAAAATCAAAAGATAATTGAGATAGAATACAGTAGTTATCGCTTCAGATATGAAAGTAGTAATAGCAGTTTTCAGCTGAAGATGAGCATTGTCGTCATGTTGTAGATTCGTTTGTTGAATGTTATTGACTCATTTGCCTTTTTCCATGTTACTTCAAGATGGGAGCTCTTCACTTTATACAAATCGGGTAACTTTGGTAGGGTAAAGATGGTAATGACAGTTTTGCTAACATTATGGAAATAGGTGATATTTATCTTTAGACTACTATTGGATGCAGCTTGATATGTTCTTAACACAAACTTGAATTTACTATATATATGTCTTTGATGAAGTGGGGTGTAACAGTTATTTTGGCAGCAGAAGATGGAAACTAATAAAAGGGTCAATGGCAATTGCAAGAGGAAAATTTGTTGCATACTTTACAAGATAAAAGTAAAGGTGTGTAGTGAAGAGATGAATGTAGCTGAAAGTGATTCTTCACTAGACTTGTTGCACAAGCGGTTAGCTCACATGAGTGAGAAATGATTGCAGATTTTGGCAAGGAACTCTTTCATCCCTTTTAATGAAGGTACATTACTAAATTCATGTTATTATTGTTTACTTGGTAAACAGTATAGAATTTCATTTCAAAAGTCCTCTAGTAAAAAGTCTAATATTTTAAATTTGGTTTATTTTGATGTTTGTAATCCCATTGAGTTCGAGTCTTTAGGTGGCAATAAGTATTTTCTTACTTTTATTGATGATACTTCACGAAAGTTGTGAGTGTTTTATTTGAGATCAAAAGACCAGGGTTTTAAGTACATTAAGAAGTTTCATGCCATGATGAAACGAGAAAGTAGAAAGGGTTTGAAGTGTTTCCGAATTGACAACGAAAGGAAATACACGTCTAAAGTGTTTGAATATTACTGCTCAGAGCATGGTATCAGAAGTATGTGAAGGATGACTAGGTCACCTAAACCTTATGGCGTAAAGTAGTTCGAATGGTGTGCTACCTAATCAATCGATCTCCAATAGTTCCATTGGATTTTGAAATCCCAGAGAAGGTGTGGACAAGAAATGATGCATTTTATTCTCACCTGAAGGTATATAGGTACAAGTCAGTTGCATATGTGCTTAAGGAACAACGATTGAAACTAGATGATAAAGGAAGTGCATGCATTTTTGTTGAATATGGAGATGCAGAATTTGGTTATAGACTATGAGATCTGAAAAAGAAGAAAATAATCAGAAGTAGTGAAATGTGATTTTTCATGAAAATCAAAAGTTGGTAGATTTCTCGAAATCTGGGAATCAAAGACGTTTGTTGAAGGTATCATTGACTTAACACATCTCTTTACCTTTAGACAGTGCCACTTAGGGAAAGAGACACATGTTGATAGTCATACTAATAAGCCAGCAGAGGTTGACGAAGATGATCTAGAGGATGTGGAGTAGGGGGAGCAACCTACTCCATCGGAACCTTAGGTGAGAAGACTTACAAAGGAAAGCTAGAATGTTTTTAGAAGGTGCAATGTCATAAGGACAAACAGAGTTGGGTAAAGGCAATGTAGGAAGAGATAAATTCTTTGCAAAAAAAAAAAAAAACATTTATGAGCTAGCAGAGCTTCCTAAAAGCAAAAGTGTATTGAAAAATAAATGGGTATTCAAGTTGAAGAAAAATGATAAAAAGCTAGTGAAGTACAAAGCCCGATTTGTGATAAAGGGCTTCAATCAAAAGAAAAAAATTGACTTCAATGAGATATTCTCTCCTATTGTCAAAATGACTTCCATTCGAGTGATTTTAGGTTTAGTAGCTAGTTTAGATCTTGAGCTTGAGCAGTTAGATGTGAAAATCACCTTTTTCGATGGTGATTTGGAGAGAAAATCTACAAAGTTTAGCTAGAGGAATTTGAAGTAAGAGCAAAAGAACATATTGTTTGCAAGTTGCAAAAGAGTTTGTATTGGTTGAAACACGTACCAAGATAGTGGTATAAAACTTTGATTCCTTTATGGTGGGTCATGGTTATACTAGGACAGATGCAAATCATTGTGTTTATTTTATAGAATTCCATGGTTGTAATTTGATTATCCTTTCGCTATATGTAGATGTCATTTAATAGTGGTGCAAGATGTTCAGTTGATTCGCAGTTTGAAGATAGATTTTTTCAAGTCCATCAAGGATCTTGGACTAGCACGGTAAATTTTGGAAATGCATATTCGTTACGATAAAAAAGCCAGAAAGTTAAGATTATCATAGAAGAAATATATAAAAAGAGTGCTGGTAAGGTTTAACATGAAGAATATTAAACCAGTTAGGATACCACCTGATAGTCACTTCAAACTGAGTAAGGTGACGTATCCTTCTAAGAAGGAAGACATTGAAAGAATGATAAAAATTTCTTACTCCTCTGTAGATGGAAGTTTGATGTATGCCATAGTCACGACTAGACAGTACTCACGGAGTTGGGATGGCCAGCAAATTTCTTTTTAATTCTTGTAAAGATCATTGGAATGTAGTAAAATGGATCTTTAAATGCTTGAGTGGTACTTCAAAGACTTGCTTAACTTTGAGAGGTTTGAAACCAATTTTGGAGAGCTTTACAGATAAATATAAGGTTGGTTATCTTGATGGTAGAAAATCAACTTCAGGATACTTGGTTACTTTTAAAGATGGAGCTATTTCATGGCAGTCAAGATTGCAAAAGTATGTCGCCTTATCTACAATTGAGGTTGAATATATTATAGCAATTGATGTAGCGAAACAAATGCTTTGAATGAAATGGTTTATCAAAGATTTGGGTTTAAAGAAAGATAAGTATGTAATTAATTGGGACAGTCAGAGCATGCTAGACCTAAACAAGAATGCTACTTATCATTTCGGACAAACACATTGATGTGAGATATCATTGGCTACAAGAAGCAATGGCGGAAGAGCTGATACTATTAGTAAAGATTCATACTTCAAAAAAATCCAATTAATATGATGACAAAGATTAAAACAAGAGAAAAGCTTGAATTTTGTGTTAGATTGGCTGGCATGAACTAATCTATTAGGGGATAATTTCCTTCATCAGTGAGCTGGAGGGGGAAATTGTTATATGGGCTTCCGGCCTATGTGGAAAAGTTGGCCCAAATCAATATTATATAGTGTTTTAGGTCAAAGTCGGTGACTATATAATTTGTAAAATAGAGAAAACAGTACTTGTTGGGAAAATAAAGGTTGCACTGTGTTAGAAATCAAACAATAGTGGTTGCGCGTGTGGAAAAGAGGGGAAAGAAAGAGAAAAAGATTTTTCTTTCAGTCTTTAGTTGTTGATTTCAAACGTGTATTTTTTCTACACGGTACAAATTAGGAATTTTTCTAAAAGTTGTATTTTGAATACTTCAAAGAGGTGTAGTATTCAAAGTGCCTATCTCATAGCTTTAATCAAACTAGTGGTTTGAGGGTGAGATTATTATTTTTTTTTAGAGATTGATCATTGTTGTATTTTTCAATTTGTTTATAATACAAGTTTTGGGGATAAACTTGAAAATCTTGAACTCTAGTTTATTATAATGGATTTAGTCAGACTTGCCTTGTGGTTTTTCCCTCTATTCCAGAAGATTTTTTTCTACGTAAAAATTTGGTGTTGTGTTCTCTTGCTTTGTTTTGATCCTTTACTTGTATATTTAATCACTCTAGTTATTTATTTGGATTGTTGAATTTATTCTTGCGAGTAATTGCCCAATAGTTTCACAAGTCTAGCTTAAAGGTAATATTGTTGGAAATTAACCTTAACGTGTGAATATGAATCTATATTCAATAACATTGGTACTACTCAATAATTACGTACATATAACCTTGTAGTAACATTGACTCGAGTGAGTCATGTGAGTCCTAGTGCCAATGCTTGATTTTATTATAAGACCATCATTTCTTCTTACACAAATTTGTGGCTGTTGTTGAAAGAAGAATAAACCGTGTTTGAAATGGTAAATTATGGGAAAATACCTCCACTCTTTCGCAGAATTGTAACGTTTTTTACTTTTAATCCATAAAAGTAGTGTGAAATCGTAGATTATCCAAGTCCTCGTTCAATCCTGGAAATTATAGGATATCTAGGTAATGGTTAAATCCTGGAAATTACATAAAAGTTAGTTAGGGTAGCTAGTGAGGTACTCAAGTATAAAACCATATCATGTTTCATATCACCACATTAGATTAGAGAGGCAAATACAGTAATGAGTTTTTGGAAATGGCTTATTCCTTTTATTTTCCTCGTTCTGACAAACCTTGTTGTTATCGTCAACTCCCAGTATTTATCACCTTATTTTCGCCATCAATGTCTTAATAATGGTAATTACACAACTAATAGCACATACCACACTAACCTCAATAGCCTCCCCTCTTCTGTCTCCTCTAATATTGATATAAATGGATTTTACTACAGCTCCGTGGGGGAGAATCCCGACAGATTCAATGCCATTGCGCTCTGTAGAGGAGATATTCAGTTCGACAAATGTCGTAGTTGTGTCTATAATGCAGCACGCTCCATCTTACAATTGTGTCCCTATCAAAAACAGGCAATTTTAAGCGATCTCCATTGCATGGTACGATACTCCAACAACTCGATCTTTAGAACTCTAGCAATTAGACCATACTTTCAGGCGCGGGAAGATGAAAATGTCACGAACAGGGACCAGTTCAACCAGGAACTGAGAACATTGTTAGACAGTCTTCGATCCCAGGCCGCTCATGGTGGCCCCCTCAAGAAGTTTGCAGCTGCGAAACGAACAGCAACAAATTTTCAAACAATTTATGGACTTGTGCAGTGCACCCCGGATTTAACGGCTCAGGATTGCAGTAATTGCTTGATCCAGGCTGCTAAACTTATGGCAGAATGCTGTAATGGAGCAAAAGGAGTTAGAATCCATACCCCCAGCTGCTGTCTTCGATATAGAACCTATCCCTTCTTCAACAATTCCATGGTTGATCAGCCCCAAAGGATGATGCCAATGCCACCAGTAATAAAGCCACTAGCAGGTCACTAAAACATCCTATGCGACTTCTATTTTGTAGTAGAGCCATTCGTACTAAAAGTTTAGAAACAAAAGGAAATTTTAAAGAGAAGCCAAACATGTTTAGCTTTTAAAGTACAGAGCTACAAACATATTTGTTTTAAAATTTTCTTCTGTTAAAAAGAATGAAGTTCGCTTCCTTTTTAGCTAGGCTTAACAAGACATGCTCCCATATTGATTCATGCTAGATTTTTAAAAGTATTACTTGCAACCCAAAACATTTAAACAAGAAGCTGAAAAGTAATATTAAAACAGTTTATTCTGCATTTTGCAGGAAAGAATGCTAATAAAAGTCGAACCATTATCATTATTATTGTTTCTATTGTCTTGGGTCTAATTCTCGTTCTTTGCATTCGCATCGTCCTAAGAATGAGACAACAGCGTAAACTAGAGGAAAAACTTGGAAGTAAGTAATTTAGATAACTAATTTTACGCACATCAAACTCTATCTTACTTTTCTTTATTCGATAACCTCTTTTTTATGCAATTTTTCAAGCTAACAATGACAAATGCTTGCAATATGACTTTTGTACAATAAGAGCCGCAACGGACAATTTTTCTGATGTTAACAAGCTTGGTCAAGGTGGATTTGGCATTGTTTACAGGGTAACTATTAGAAAGATAGTTTCGATAGATACAGAGGTAGTAGTGTCCTTCATTTCAGGGAGAAAGTTTTATAAATTTTCATGTGTTCTCAATATTTAATCTCAGGGAGAACTTCCAAATGGACAGGAAATAGCGGTGAAAAGATTGTCAAGGGATTCAGGGCAAGGCGACCTAGAATTTAAGAATGAGGTCTTGTTAGTGGCTCGGCTTCAACACAGAAATCTGGTTAGTCTCTTGGGTTTCTCCCTAGAAAAAAGCGAGAGGATTCTTGTGTATGAGTTCATGCAGAATGGGAGCCTTGACCACTTCATATTTGGTAATTAACATTCAATTTGATGTAAATTAGTCCTTGCAGTAATCTATTTCTTTCTATTCATTAATGTTGTGCGTGTAATGGATATCCATTTTGAGCATTATTTTCATTTGATTCATCATAATTTCATTTTTTGAAGTTTACATGTAGACCCAATAAAGCGTCCATATTTGGATTGGGATAGATGCTACAAAATCATAAGGGGTGTTGCTGGAGGAGTTCTTTATATACATGAAGATTCTCAAGTTCGGATCATCCACCTTGATCTCAAAGCTAGCAATATTTTGTTAGATGGAGATAATAACCCTAAAATATCAGACTTTGGTATGGCAAGGTTATTTGTCGAAGACGAAACACAAGGCAATGCCAGCAAGATAGGGGGAACCCCGTAAGCATTTAACAGAAGAACATTATCTCATATTATAATTTAAAAACAGAAAATATTGTCATGTTTTAAATGAGTATTTAGTTATAAAATTTGTTACTAATTATAGACCTACAAACTAACTATTGCAGTGGATATATGGCACCTAAGTACGCTATGCATGGACATTTTTCTGTTAAATCAGATGTCTTTAGCTTTGGTGTGCTAGTTCTAGAGATTATAACTGGTCAGAGAATTAATAGTTACCAGAATGGGAATCGTGTTAAGAGTCTGCTAAATTTTGTAAGTGTAAATAGGAAACAATTTATTCCTTTTTTGTCAATTTGAAGCTACCAATTATAGTGTTGAATATTCTATTTAAACATGTCACATTCTCGCAGGCTTGGAAAAATTGGCATGAAGGAACAACAACAAATTTAATAGATCCTGCATTGGGGGCTTCTTCAACTTCCTTGCAAGATATTGTACGATGCCTTCACATTGGTTTGCTCTGTGTTCAAGAGAGTGCAGCTGACAGACCTACGATGGCAATGTTGGTTGTCATGCTCTCTAACTTCTCCCTAAATCTGCCCACACCATCACAGCCTGCATTTTTTATGTCCAGTCCAGACATTTCAAGTTCAACAATATAGGGATCAGAAAATCAACAAATAATGCCTCAATTAGTGAGTAATATCGTTGGTAACTGATGCATACCAGCAGATGGTAGATAAAATAATGGAGCAATATATACATCACCAAAACTCAAGCGAAGGAAGATCACGTGGATAATCAATTATGAAATGGCCAAAAGATGGCTTGTTGTAAAGATTCACGCATCAGTTTGAGTACTACACTGATGGCTGATTTCCACTTTTAATTGTTTATAAATCTTTTTTAATTATATTAAAACTCATATAAGTGTAATGGATTGACAGACTTGAATTACGAATAAGAATTACAGTTCGGTTTAATCCAAATGTATTTGTTATTTCTAGGCATTTCAAATTCAAAATCAACGAGTTTTGATCAACGTTTGTTTCTCCATTCTGCGGCATGAGTAACTTCAAAGAGACAAAGATTCATTATATAAGACATTTTATGGTTACATTTATTTTTAAAATCAAGCAAATATGTGCTTGTTCTAAGCCCCATAAGTTTTGATGGTTTTCAAGGTATATTATTCTTTTTCACCCTAAAAGAATGAATACAAGAAACGGCAAAGTTGAATTTAAGAGAGAAAATAAGACAATACAAAGAGAAGAGAATTGTATTGAATAATGTGATTTGTTTACAAGAGAGGTATCCTATTTATAGCCTAATTTGAAAGGAATGTTTTCCTTTCTAACCAATGTGGGACTAACTAACATTTACATTGTATATACATTAACAGCCCCCCTCAAAGTCAAGGTGGTAAAATGGAGACCAACTTGAGTTTGGAAACTAAATCCTCAAGGCGTCCAGGAGGGTGCGTTTTAGTGAAGATATCAGCAGTTTGATCGGTCGAAGAAACTGATAATAGTCCAATAGTCCCACGGGTGAGATGATGACGTAGAAAGTGACAATCAATTTCAATGTGTTTTGTGCGTTCATGGAATACATCATTGTGAGCAATTTGGATAGAACTTGGCAGTAGAATGGGTGACGCCCATGTCTTCAAGTAACCAGAGAAGCCAAAGAAGTTCCTGAGTTGTATCAGCAAGGGCTCGATACTCAGCTTTTGTACTGGATCGAGCGACTACTGTTTGTTTCTTGCTGTGCCAAGAAATAAGAGAATCACCAAGGAAGAAGCAATACCCAGTGGTAGATCTACGATCAGTGGGGTTACCTGCCCAATCTGCATCTGAGTAGGCACGAAGCTGGAGTGAAGAGTGAGATGAGAAGTGGAGACCATGAAATAAGGTCCCTTTGATGTACCTGAGAATACGAAGCACTGCAGCATAATGGGATGTACGAGGAGCAGAGAGAAATTGACTGACAATATGGATAGCATAAGAGATGTCAAGGCGAGTAACTGTAAGATAAATAAGACTACCAACCAACTGGCGAAACAAGGTGGGGTCATCCAAAGGTGTACCATCCATGGGAGTGAGTTTAGAGTTGAGCTCTAGAGGAGTGGTACATTTTTTACTATCCGTGAGTCCTGCTCGAGTAAGAAGATCAGAAGCATACTTTGCTTGCGAAAGATAATATCCCTTAGAGTTAGAAGTGATCTCAAGTCCCAAAAAGTAACTAAGCTTTCCAAGATCTTTCATTTCGACATGTTGGCTGAGATAAGTCTTGAGATGCAAAATTCCGGATGTGTCATCACCAGTGATGATCATATCATCAACATAGAGGAGAAGAAGGATAGTACCCTGGTCTATTTTGCGAATGAAAAGAGCAGAATCATGTGAGCTAGAAATGAACCCAAAATCTCCAACAATGGTGCTGAACTTGGCAAACCAAGCTCGAGGAGCTTGCTTGAGACCATAAAGAGCCCGATGAAGTTTGCAGATTTGATGCGGAAGATGATGAGAACTAGGAGGAGGGCACATATAAACTTCTTCAGTAAGTTCACCATTAAGAAAAGCATTTTTCACATCCATCTGAAATAATTCCCAATGACGGACGGCGGCAATTGCAATTAAGCTACGAACTGAAGTAAGGTGGGCAACCGGGGCAAAGGTCTCCTCATAGTCAATCCCATACTCCTGGGTAAATCCTTTAGCTACCAAACGAGCTTTGTATCGATCAATGGACCCATCAGAGTGAGTTTTGATCTTGTAAACCCACTTTCATCCCATGGCATGTTTGCCTTTTGGTAGGTCTACTAGATCCCAAGTGTGAGTGTTTTCGAGTGCCTGTACTTCATCATTCGTTGCTTTCTACCAAAGAGGATCAGAACTAGCTTCATGATAAGACTGAGGTTCATGGTGAGAAAGAATAGTAGAAAATACAACCAAGCCACGAAGATTAACAGAAGGAGATTTTACTCGGTCACTTCGTCGAGTAGGGAGATCAAAAGTTGTTGGAGTGGATCCATCAGAAGAGACAAGTTCCTCAGAAGAAGGCAATGTGGATAACTCAATTGAGGTATCTGTAGACATGTTAGTTGGTAATGACATATTTGAGAAAGATATAGGATGTGTTGGTGGAGATGTTGACTCAGAAGAAGAGTTTGTCTCAGGAGTGTTAGGAAAAAGATCTGTGGAGAGGTCAATGAATAGGATAGAGGTATTGTCATGTGACAAGTGAAACTTGGATATGGAGGCGAACATCTTGTGTTCCCAGAAAATGACATGACAAGGTACTCGGAGACGTTTGGAGTAAAGATCCCAACATCTGTAGCCTTTGTGTTCAATCCCATATCCCAAGAAGCAACATAGTTGAGATCTAGATTCCAATTTGGTGCGCTTATGAGGCTGAAGAAGAACAAAACAAGCACAACCGAATACCTTAAGAGTGTTATAGTCAAGAGGGTGACCATAAAGATGCTCAAATGGTGATTGATTCCCAATGATGGGAGAAGGCACGCGGTTCTTGGTGTAAACAGCTGTAAGAGCAGCTTCACCCCAAAATCGTTCAGGACACAAAGCAAATATGAGAAGAGCACGGACAGTATTGAGAATGTCTCGGTGTATGTGCTCAGCACGTCCATTTTGTTGAGAAGTGCCTGGACATGAACGATGAGGAAGAGTGCCATGTTTGCAAAGAAAGGTAATGACTCTGGAGTCTGTGCATTCAGCAGCATTGTCAGCACGAAACACTTTGATATTGCAAGAAAATTGAGTTTTGACCATGGTAGCAAAATCAAGGTACAACTGAGGTAATTCGGATCGATTATGCATAAGAAATATCCAAGTGTAACGAGAGTAATCATCAATAAAAATTACAAAATATCTAGAGCCTCCTATAGTAGCAGTGGGAGATGGGCCCCAAACATTAGAGTGAATCAAATCAAATGGTGCAGAAGAAAAGGAATCACTTTTGTGACATGGCAATGCCGATTGTTTTGCAAGTTGACAAGGAAGACAATCAAATTGTTCTTTATTAACAAGCCCTAAATAACCACTAGATGCTAAAAATTAAAGACGACTAATAGAAGCATGACCCAGACGAGAATGCCAGAGACTGATGGATGGGGTAGATGACTAGGACTGCTGTCTGAACTGATGAGGAAAAATGGGATGGAAGGTAAAGATTGATGAGCTCAAAGAGTCGTCCAACCTTATGGCCTATCCCAAGAGTTTGTCCCGTCTTTGGATCCTGCACACAACAACCAGAAGTAGAAAAGATGACAGTTAGACCGAAGTCACAAAATTGACCAACAGATATAAGATTGAGAGTGAGTTGGGGAATACAATAAGTATCAGAAAGTGAAGTGTTTAATGTTGAGATTTTTCCGATATGACTTACGGTCATAGAAGAACCATCAGCAGTGTGAATAGTTGGAGTATGATTAGCAAGACGTTTGTGGCAAATATAGTGGAGTCAGGTGTCATGTGATTACAACATGTAGAGTCAAAGAACCAAGATGAATTACCTGAGGTGACTTACATAACAGTAGAGGGTAAATTACCAGAATGAGCAAGGAGTTGTTTGATAATTTCCTCACATCAGAAGTAGAAAACGTCTCACTGGTAGTAGTGGATGATGAACCTTCAGCGGTAGTGGCGGCAGATCTAGAAGGAGTACCGCGAGACATGTGTTGTTAGGAGTGTCTGTTGGGGTTTTGGAAACAATCACGCTGAAGGTGACCAAGGGCTTGCTTGTGACAGAATTGGCAAAATCGAACTGGGTATTCCAAGAGAATGTGTCCTGGTTTCTTACAGTAATTGCAGAATCTTGAGGATCCAGATGGATGTCCTTTGTTGTTGGGTTGAAAAGATCCAGATGGATGTATTTTGTTGCTGGGTTGAGGTCCTCTAGGACTGGCGAAGATAGCATCTGTAGAGATAGTCTTGCGAGAGGCAAGACGAGTTTCCTCCGAAAGAAGTTCAGTAACAGCTTGATCTAAAGTAGGTAAGGGCCTGCGGTGAAGGAGAGATGCATGAACATGCGCAAACTCATTAGTGAGGGCCATGAGAAAGAGAACCAAGTGTTTCTGATCTCGATAATTAAATTTTTTTTAGCATCATTAGCATCTATAAACTCTAGTTCTGAAGAAGCAAGTTGATCCCAAACATAGTGCATCTCAGATAAGAAATTATTAATGGATTGCCCAGGCTATTGTTGCATACAATGTAGAGTGCCTAGAAGTTGGTATTGATGAGACAGATCTGTGGTGGTGTAGCGTTTCTATAGAAAATCCCATAGTGACTTGGCAGTCTTGAATCTACCAAACTGGAGACTAATGGAGCGTACGCATGTGTTACGAATCCAAGTGATAATTTGGTGATTTTTGCTATCCCATTCTTCGAGACGATCTATGTATTTTGTGTTGTCTTTTCCAGCGATTTTCTCTGGTTCGGTGATATCACCAGTAACATAGCGCCATAGCTTTTTGCCCTTAAGAAAGCTTGACATAGCCTGAGCCCATATAGTGTAGTTGAGTTCTTCCATGACAATGGTAATAGGTTGTGAGGCCTCAAGATGCTCCATAATGTGCACGAAATTAGAAGGATATAGAGAGAAAAATAATAGGAACCGAATTGAACTGGTCAGGAAATGACTGATGGGGTGGTGGCTGAGATGATGTCGATGGAGAATAAGACTCCGACTATAGCGACGACCTAACAGGTATGAAAAGGATATACAAGAGGTTTTTCTGATG